GGGGGGGGGGGGCTCAGGATGAATAGAAACCTTTCTATTTTTAACACATTTACTTTATCGTTGTAGGCAGTGTCTGATTTTTATATGTTCCTTTAGTGTTTGGAAATACTGCCTAACCCAATTTCCTTAAATGGAACCTCAGAACATGCCTTCTGCATTTTTCTCATACTTCAGCGTAATTTACTAGCACATGTGGGGTAAATCTAGATAAGAGTAAGTCTTTAATAATTTTATCACAGTTGTCTGTGGCCCTGTGTACATAATTAGTTTTATTTTCACCTCAGAAATAAATTTTCCCTCTAGGAGACCTCGATCAAAGAACATGGGGAAAAGGAACCACATCTAAGTTCTTTGTGAGACAGGCATTTTCTTTCCAAAGCATTACTTTTGGGAGTAGGCCGCTGTTTCAGGGAAACAAAACCAAACCAAATTGTGCTAGTTTGAGATTATCTGTAGGTAAACTTGGACCTCTTAGTGGAACTTCAAAGAATTGGAGTAGGAGTTAGGGAATGGGAAAGAGTGCGTCTGATTCCGCACTTTGGTCATTGTTCAGATTTTCTCTTCTCTTTCTGGCTTTTCCATATCAGTTGGCTACTGAACTTCTGCTGCAGATTTTTACAGGCTTATGTCTCTCACTAGTAGGCCCCATGTACATTGTTCAGTATCCTAAATCTGTATCTTTTCTAAAATTTTTACTTAACAGCTAATTATTTAACTCAGATTAGTCCTCAAGATGCTGAATTCCTAGAAATCCCTAATAGTTTTGACTATAGCAGTTGGGATTTTAGAAGACTATTGCATGACCTCATTGCATGACCTTCACTTCGTTGTATGATCTCCGGATAGGAACCTGTGGGCCCCATCAGATGGGAAAGCCTAGTCAACAACCATTGACCATCTTACTTTCTAACAGCCATTGCTATTTAAGTCTCTTGGTTCCTTAGCATTTGTCTTAAATTCTCATGACACAGAGATAGATGAGCCAGCAATTTCCTTAGAGTTATGGGGAAAAGCTCACGTGTAAGGGGGTTCAGTTATTGAGTTGAAGTCTCACTGCACTAGACTTTGAAGTAAGGTTGGCTTTATTAGTACGCAAAGAAGCTGGCTACCAACATAGCATCCTAACAACGCGAGGAAGACTCTTTTGTCCTTAGTAAAGCTTTATCCGCCTGAATCACTCATGCCTGAAATTCTATAATTAGATAATAATTTCTTTGACTTAATACGTTATTCTCTGTTAAATGTAAAATAGCATAGAATATCATAAACTCAGAATACCATAGTGGGAAGAAACCTCAAATTATCTAACCTAGTATATATGAAGCCTTTTCAGAAATAGGTGTATTTATATCTTTGGTTCTTTCTTGCAAATAACATTTTATGCAGAGGCAAGTAGAAAGAAGATACCAGGCATAGTAGTAAAGGCAAGGGAGCTGGGCCCCCCAAAAGCAATTCCCTTTTGTCACAGGTTTGTCTAGGGCTAATAAGTCTAAGTACCAGGAATCAAGAACTTTATCATATTAAATTGGATTAAAGACCAGAGAATTTATTCATTCCTACCATACCCTGCAAAGCTTCAGTCATTTTCATCTTAATTTATTTCAATTGTACAGGTCATTGTTCTGTAAAACGTGGATACTATGATCAGTTTCTTTCTTGTTCCTTTTTTTTTTTGGCATTTTGCATCTGAATATTTGCAGCTGTAAGAATCCGTTTTCTTGCTTAAAAAAATGGAATTTTTAGCATCTGTCCTCCCTTACCATTGAGGATATTGGGAGACTATTTTCTACCATGATGGGCATTCCTTAGAGACTATCACTGAAACAACTACAGAACATATTTCAGAGCAAGTCAGAGAAGAGTTGGGTGTGGTAGGTTACGGAGAAGAGCAGCTGGTAGTCAGCTGGGCTAATTGACAGTAATATAATGGTGAGGGTAAAGTTGAGAGAGATGTTGAGGACTTAGTGCATCTTGAATTGTTAGCTAAGCCTAAGAAAAGCTTTCTCAGCTGGGTCAAGACCAATGAAGAAACTAAAATGTGTTTTTTTTCCTAGCTACAGAAATAGAAGCATGCAGTTTTTGTGTCACTTTAAAAAAAAAAAATGTTAATACCCAACTGTTGCATTTAGCATGGAGGTAAGACATTGACCAACAGTCAAAAGATGATTGTCTTAAATCTGTCATCATTATCTCTACAGCTATGTACCAATGATTCAAACTCCATTCACCTTCTGGTTAATTCTCCCATAAGCCCATCAGGCCTCCATCACAGTCCTGTCCTGGTCATTCAGTGGTGAGCTTTCCCTCCATTAGGAAAGAACCACCACCCACGCAGCCAAGTTCCTTTTCCAATCAACTTTATTTGCCTCTAAAAAAAAAACAAAAAAAAGCCATGTTCAGGAAAGGCGCAGATTTTACAACTCCCTTTTCTATCCTGGGCTGTCATGCAGTTTCTCACCCAACTATCCAACTCACAGAAATGGCTCTCATTGGTTATTAC